CGGTGCCTGAGTTTGAGCCTTGCATCAGGCTCTGTACTGACGATGCTTGGGATTCTCTCTCCCTCTCCCTTTCTCTGCCCCTTCCACACTCGTGTGCTCTCTCTCTCTCTGTCTCTCAAAATAAATAAATAAACTTAAAAAAAAAAAAAACTTTTAGGCCTTCCTTCTACTGTGGTCAGGATAAATCGTGAGGCAGAGGACCAAACAAGCAGTGCTATACTGGTGGATATTGAACAACTCCAGGAAAAAAATAAATCAATCTGATTCTCATGTTTGCTGATTTCTGTGGTCCAAATACTTCCACCAGGGCCAATGACAAGCTACCAATGTGATCCCACAAACTTGGGAAGAGATGCACACAGTTGACTCTCACAAGCTGGTACAAGCCAACTCCAGCACACCGTGGCAAATAAATCATCTTACTACAAAATGTTTCACTCGTTTAGGTAAGTGTAAAGAATAATATAATGAATCTACTTGTATCTATGATGCAGCTTCAGTTATATTTGTTCCAGATCTAAGTAAAACTGAGTGGAGCTTGGTGGAAGAGGAAACACATTGACAAGTTTATGCTACAAGGGCACTGGGCATATAGAAGGGGGTTGGATGAATCAAGAGGACAGTAAAGATGTAATCTGTGTCATTATCATGCAGCCTTATTTAAAGTAACCGCAGAACTAACTGTTCTATGACCCAAGTCAATTCTACATATACTGATTGGGCATCTTCTTTTTTTTTAATTTTTTAATGTTTATTTATTCTTGAGAGAGAGAGAGTGTGTGTGTGGGCCCACAAGCAGAGGAGGGCCAGAGACAGGGAGACACAGAATCCGAAGCAGGTTCCAGGCTCCTAGCTGTCAGCACAGAGCCTGACGGCGGGCTTGAACTCAGGAGCTGTGAGATCGTGACCTGAGCCGAAGTCGGATGCTTAACCAACTGAGCCCCCCAGGCGACCCCTTATTGAGCATGTTCTATGCACAGCGTATTGAACTGGGTGTTGGAGGATATGCAGAGATGAATAAGGCCCAGTTTTGTCTGGTGTCACACATTGGAAAGAAAGAACTGTGAGGAGATTGGCCATTGGCTGATTATTTGTACCTGGCCAAGGACCTTCACTTTAGGCATCAATCTCCACACTTGGAAAACCAGGAGGCCAAATTACATCATCTCCAAGGTCCCTTCCTTCTTTACAATTCTAATGACTTCTTTTATGGTGCCAGAGAGGTTCTTCCAGCTTGCTGTCATTCATTACTACATTACTCTCTTAGTCAGCATTCTAACTTGCTTTCATTCTTGTATCTTTTTTACTTCACAAAAACTTAATGTACATGTACGTTTAAGTAACAGCTATGGTTATTTCATTGGTAGACTGACTTTGATGAGCTAGCAGGGACCTAACCTGACAGCAATATGCTTTTGTTAATATTTCAAATGCAACTTTTTGTTTTGTTTTGTTTTGTTTTGTTTTAGAGAGAGCACACGAGTCAGAGAGAGGGGAAAAGGAAGAGAGAGAGAGAGAGAGAGAGAGAGAGAGAGAGAGAGAGAGACAGAAAATCTTAGGCAGGCTCCACACTCAGTGTGGAGTCCAATGTGGGGCTCAATATAAGACCATGAGCTGAGCCCAAATCAAGAGTCAGATGCTCAACAGATTAAGCCACCCAGGCACCTCTCAGATGCAATTTTAAAACAATTTTAAGTACATCATTTAATTACAAAATGGAATAACAAGAGGCGCCTGGGTGGCTCAGTCAGTTAGGCATCAGACTCTTGGTCATGATCTCACAGTTCATGAGTTCGAGCCCCACACTGGGCTCGGCACTGACAGCGTGGAGCCTGCTTGGGATTATGTCTCTCCCTCTCTCTCTCTGCCCCTCCCCTCTTCATGTTCTCTCTCTCTCTCTCTCAAAATAAATAAACATTAAAAAGAATTTTTTTAATGGAATAACAAAAACTCAGTTCCTACCTATCTGTTAATGGAGTGATAACAAGACGATCAGTGCATCCCAGAAATTCATTTTGGTAAATAAAATCCACATCTGTAATAGACACTACAGTTTGATCCAAGTCTTCCTTAAAATAAAATCTACTCTGTTTTAGCCATTCAAAATCAGTAACTGATTTGATATGCATTTTTACCTTAAAAACATGAAATACAAAGAGATTACATACTGAATTGCAATAGCACAAAACACAAGCATGTAGGCAGTTTTTATTCACTCATTCACGAACTGGTTCATTTATTTAACATATATCTATAGAGTCCCTCCTTAGGCCCGACACTGTGCTCGGTGAACAAAGACAGACAATGGTTCTTGTCTTCTGAAGCTGATCAAAAAAAGACAAAAGACAAACAGATAAACAAATAATTGGAATAAAATATGAAAAGAAATTCAGGGTTCATGGAAATATGTAGCAAGAGGACCTAACGTAGTCTAGGGAAGGCTGAGAGGGATACTTGGAGAAAGAAATATTCAAACTAAAACCTGGAAAAATAGTAGGAATCACCAAGGGAAATAAAATTAAAGCAAATTTTAAAAAAGAGGGCACAATGTTTTAGGCAAAGACCCAGGAGACCTGGTTGCATGTTCAAGGAACTCAAAGAAGTTCAGCACAGCTCAGGCATCCAGGAGTCTTGAGACAGAGAAAGAGTTGAGGCTTCATGGGACATGGAAACAGGGTTGGGCAGTGTTCTCATGGCAAAGGGAAGCCACTGAGGGGATTAAGCAGGAAGATACACAGTCATATATGCACAAGTGCCTTCCTCCACCAGCACTGTGGCCAAACCAACCAACCTGCCGGATCATCAGTCTACCCCTATGGGCACAAGGTACTGGGCTCCCCACAGCCATACATGCAAGTGATAGAAACCAGGGAAGCACATTTAGGAATAACATCCTGCCACAACCACGTTCTCAGGTGCTTCATGATTTTCCATGGACAACCTTGGAGAAAACTTGGTCCTGCCCACTCAGGAGAATCAACACGGAAAAGAGGCAAATGATCCCCTTCACTGCTCTTAAACTCGGTCCCTCTTCCAGGTCATTTGGCTTGACCTTTGGCAACCCTGCAATGTACCTGATCTCCAACTAATCAAGTCTCCACCCTATTTAACAGTCTTGCTTTTTGTCATTGTTTCATTGTTTGTGATGACCTTGCTTTCCCCCTGCAGCTAAGAATTCTGGCTTCCAGCAGAAATCACAGTTTGGATTCATCACCTTAAACTGCAACTATCAGGTGACATGATCCAGTGCCATCCCTGGGGACTCTGCTCCCCAACACAGGACCTGCAGCCACGGAGAGGCCATCAACTAACTAGCTAGTCTCAGTAATCCATGAAGATGGTGAGGAGGCAACAGAAGATGAAGAAGAAAGAATAGCTACTATTTGTTGAGTTCTTACCATATACCAGGCTGTTCTAAGCAACACACACAGAAAAATAAAATGCAAACATGCTGGCCATGAGATCTCATTTTACTTGGGATGCAGAGGGACCATGAGTTCAACAGTAGTTAAGACAAAAAGAAAACAGTTTCGTGGCTTTAACTGTGTATGGGTTTTTTTTCTTTTTAAAACTCCATTCTGCATGTAAAGTAAAACTTTGCTCAGCACTTAAATTTAAAAGAAATTTCTTCCATGGGATTTCAGCTTTAAGAGTCCGCGAGGGATGTACAGACAACACCCTAAATGGCACGCCTTTAGCAGATACAGTAATGGATTCCATAGGAGTTCTTGAGGTGGACTTCAAATAAACAAAGTCAAAGTGTGACAGTAACTGCAATTTGGTGAAAGCAAATCTGTAGAAGGCCAAAGAAATATGGTCTGAGTATGCAGCTCTCTGATGATTAGATTGACTGGAAGATCCAGAGACAAACCCTAGAGCAGTGTTTGGTCAACTTTAACATGCATATCAATCACCTGAGAATTTTGAAATGCAGATTCTGATTAAGTAGAGGGTGGGGCGGGGGAGGGGACTGGAGATTCTGCTTTTCTAACCAGCTCACAGGAGATGCTAATGCAACTGGTTGGTATATAATACTTTTGAGAAGCGAGGGTCTAGATTCCAGGGGAATAAACGGACTGCATGTCCTTCTCAGCCTTCCATAAATATCACCTATCTGATCAGAACTTTTGACACAAGCTTGAAACAAGTAGTCTGTGATCATATTGTGTAAAAAAGAACCCCAAGTTGCATGAATTACACGTCTCTGGTGAAGAAAAGAGATACCTTTAAGATGAATCAAATCAAATCAAATAAAGCAACAGTAGTTAAAGACAAAGATAGTCAAATGGCGGTATATCAAATGGTGGCACGTAGGCCCCTACCCTACAATGATAACCACTGCTTTCGGAGAACTTTGTCTCGTTCAAGGCCGCTGGTTAGAGTCCTGTTTCTGAAGGGAATTCAAATACCACCCCACCTACTCTTACCCTACAGAACCTTGTCCACATCAAGCCCATGATGCCCTGTGGGACACTGTTAATCAGACAAATATCCATGAAACTTTTCTGAAGCTTGATTCTCTTTGATCAAGACTTCTTTCTTAATGGAGCAAATGATTCATGACCAATCCTACCTAAATTGTATCATGCCCCTGGTTATTTGGTGTAACAGAACGCGAGTAGTTAGTTCACCTCACATCAGTTGGTTCCAGACTTTCACAATGCCAAATGTGAGTATACACATAAGGTTGTTTAAACCACAAATATACATATTTGTAGACATGGTATATAGAAAGACAGTTGTGGAAAAAGACCAAGTAGATGGAAAGTTCACACAAGTTAGGGAATATATATAATACTAATTATTCATTATTAGGAGCACTGAACTATTAATTAGTACACTGAATCACTTTAAAAAACAAAGATACTTTACCAAGTCATCAAAAATATCTCTCTGGTGCACATGGATGGTTATCAGAGTTTCAAACTTCACTCTGTCAAACTTGCTTAGGTCATGTGTTGTCTGACTGATGAGAATATTCAGAATATCCAAAAATTTCTGATTGGTCACCTGCATGATTTTCCTGTCATCTTTTGCATTATGTAAAGCCTCTTCTGAATCATGTGTCCACAACATCTGAATTCCCAGAAGCCCCACCTATGCATCCAGAGGAAAAATAATAAGTAAATTTGCCAAATATTCAAAGCACATCTGCAATAAAATTTGGTGGTCAGTTGTCCATAGGAAGGCAAACGAGGTTTTACTCATTTTAAACTAAAAAGAGACATGCATTTCTCCACTCCCAAAAGGGGAGAAATAAACACTCCAAGTTCCAACTATTGATATTTAATTATTTTAATGCAGTGAGATAAGTAATAATTAAAACAATGGCTACCATATATGAAGCTGTATATGTTTATGAAGGATGCTTAGCAAATTTTTCTATAGAGGGCCCAAGACCACCCAATAGCTCCTATGATCATTTTTCTTTCTCAAGAAAAGCAAACAGAATTTCTAGACTTGTTGTTGTGTATTTTTCTTTAGCAGGGTTTCCCAAAGGTCTCTTTGCAATTTCTAGAAACGGTATGCTGACTCTCTCCTTTCCTGATCTATCTAATCTATCTAATCTTTCTTTCTTTCTTTCTTTCTTTCTTTCTTTCTTTCTTTCTCTTTCTTTCTTTCTTTCTTTCTTTCTTTCTCTTTCTTTCTTTCTTTCTCTTTCTTTCTTTCTTTCTCTTTCTTTCTTTCTTTCTTTCTTTCTTTCTTTCTTTCTCTTTCTTTCTTTCTTTCTCTTTCTTTCTTTCTCTTTCTCTTTCTTTCTTTCTTTCTTTCTTTCTCTTTCTTTCTTTCTTTCTCTTTCTCTTTCTTTCTTTCTTTCTTTCTTTCTTTCTTTCTTTCTTTCTTTCTTTCTTTCCTGATCTATCATCTATAACTTTACCTAAATTGACTTCTTTCTATATATATTTATCTAAGGGAGAGAGAGAGAGAATGAGAAGGGGGGAAGTTTATTCTTTTTCTCCTGATGAGGGCATAAGAAAATTGTGACTATCACCTTGCCTACAATCTCCACCCCAGGAAAGGTGTAAAATTGTCAAAACAAACATGCCCTCCTTGCTGCAACAGGTGTCCCTTTAGGAGCTTTTGTTCATCTGCAGAGTCAAGCCACAGATCCGAGATCATTTGGACCAAAGGGAACCCCACATCTGGCGGAGGACTGGGAGCAGAGTGAGCGGCATGTGGACACTGTTGGGCATGGCATTCAGTGTGGGTAAGGCAGGAATAAAACCCTTTCCTTATCCCCCCGCCTCCTCAAGACTTCAAAATGCTTTCTGCCAAAAGCAGCGGCCAACCCTGCGGTCTGCAGGTAAAGATAAATGAAGGCCCCCCCGGGGGGGGGGTGAGCAACCCGACGTAGAGGAAATACCCCATGTCAGGAAGTTCCCAGCAACAAGACAGTTCTGACTCTGGCAGCAGCAGAAGACGGCATGAGACAGGAAAAGCAAAAAACAAACCAAAAACCCACAGTGTAAGGCTGTGAGATTTAAAGACACAGACCCGCAATCTCTGAGAAATCACTGCTTAGTGGTAGATTCTAAAAACTAATCTTTAAAATGACTATCCTGAGTCACCTAGAAAAGTTTAAATTATAGTGTGTACTCAGTTTAAGAAGGCAGAAGATTTCATGGTGAAAACTGGAGGATGTCTCATTAAAATAAAAACAAAACAAGAATGCTCATTCTCCTCAACGTCACTCGCTGCCTGTCAGAAGCACGTTAAAACTGCTAGAAGGGAATACACTAAAATATGAAGTCATCGTTTGCAGCTGGTAGAAACAAGCAATGTATATATTGAATAAATATTATGGGTAGAATATACATTGGGTGAATATATATCTTCATTACTCTTGAAAGCATTTTTTCCAAATAACTGAAATTTGCCCATTACGTTAAGATTTTAACCTAAAATTGTTTAAAATGTCACCTTTTAGAGCTAGTCAACTTTCCTGCTGTATCCTGTTCAACATCACTCCCACTCTGACCTCGCTTTCAGTTTTCCACATGGTGCTAGCTTCTCTGTCTAATCTAGACTGAGTCTCTCCTTCAGATTATACAAGCTTTCCTGGGAGAGAGAAAGCGTGCCGATTTGGTCTAAGGGGCTATCTTTCTCACTTTATCAAATAAAGTATTTTATAAAGCTTCATCACAAAGCTAATAAAGCTGATAAGAATATAAAATTTGCCAAGGATACTGCACGATACAAAAATATTAAATACAATATCAACATATTCTCTCCAGTAAAGGTTGTTCTATAGCCGTACTTGTGTCATTTGAATAAATAATTTCCTATCATTTCAGCCCTCTCCTCTGTGTGTGCATTAAGTCGGGACTTGGAGGTCGGCCGCGAGGAGCGGTTGGAGAAGTATAGTTAGGGTCAAAACTGTGTGTATTTTCCTTGGATATCTCTTGCTTCCTATCCCACACTCTCTCTGACCCAGATCACAAAGCATCACTTTTCGTTTATTTTGGCTGAAATCTGAATGAAACTGTTGGCTTTTCCTTTTCTGTATTCAGTTAATAACACGTGGCACAGTAGGGTGCATTCCTAAAAGCCACTGGACATGAGAGATGTTCAAGAGAACACCTGCTCAAACGCCAGCCTCTTGAAGGTCCGCTCCTGTTAGGAAGCTAGCTGCATGACAAGGCCTCCTTTAACAGATTATGACAATTTGTAATCACTGGAAGGGAGAAAAAAAAAAATGCAAGATGGATTTTGTTTCAGGACAAGATATGCTAGTTCTTATCTATATCCATATTTCTAACTATATCCGTATCTATATCTATCCATACATAGCTACATGGAAAATATGCCACCAAATCCATACACAGATGGGTATAGATAGGTGTCTTTTATGTACAGATGTGTGTGCTTTGTATAGGAGATGAAATTTTCCATTTGTGAGTTTAGTTTTAGTGTTATCCTTAGTGATCAAAGAACAGTGGCAAATCCTCTTCCAGCGAATGGGATGAGATGGCCTAGAATAATGTAGGTGGACAAGCAGGTGGTTGGCAGTTGGGGGTGGGAAGGCCTCCCCAGCTAGTTCAAAGCTACCAACAGCTGCTACACCATCAAGGCCAACTGCTTCCTGTGTATCTTTCCCCCTTATTTCCATTATGTAAACATTATATATTCTCACCTGTGCTGGAAAGTGATTGAGAAAAGGTAAGAGTTGAAATCCTGAATCGCTGATTTGGTAGAATGCAGACCTGATTATATTATGCAGTGACGACATCTGCATTTTTAACAAATCCATAAGCCAAATCTCTACAGGACCTTTGGCCATAACAGGATTATCCAACTAAAAAGACACATTACAGATATATTACAAATTGATAATAATTTCCTATTGTTACCAATGTAACGATAGTGATTTATCAACTTCACTTGATAAATCACAGTACCTCAACACAAAGCAAATAATTTTACACAAAATATTTAAGACATGAGAAAAACCAACTAATACTGCAGGTGGAAAAAAATGGTCTGGTCTAAAGTTTTCATTGTAGGGGTGCCTGGGTGACTCAGTCGGTTGAGCATCAGATTCTTGATTTTGGCTCAGATCATGATCCCAGGGTTGTGGGATCGAGCCCCACATCAGGCTCCATGCTGAGTGTGGAACCTGCTTAGGATTCTTTCTCTCTCCCTCTGCCCCTCTCCCCCACTCACGCTGTCTCTCTAAAATACAAAATTAGGGGCGCCTGGGTGGCTCAGTCCGTGGAGCGTCCGACTTCGGCTCAGGTCATGATCTCACAGCTCATGAGTTCGAGCCCCGCGTCAGGCTCTGTGCTGACAGCTCGGAGCCCTGGAGCCTGCTTCAGATTCTGTGCCTCCCTCTCTCTGCCCCAACCCACTTGCATTCTGTCTCTATCTCTCTCAAAAATAAATAAACATTTAAAAAAATTGGTTTTTTAATACAAAATTAATAATTAATGATAGAACAAGTCTCAGAGAAGTCAGTGACTTACCCAGACTTGTTTGCAACCAAGCCAGGGCGAGAGAACTAGAACCCAGGCCCACCCCTCCCCCACTCTCTGTTTTTCACAGGAGAATTGCAATCTCCTTGACCTACATTTTTAAAGAAATCCTAGTAAGAAAACTTTAACCCAAGTTAAATTACCATAATTTTTTCTCCTTCTCTTGATATGACGGCCAGGATACGATCGTAGTCTTTTGCATGAAATGTCACCTCATTTATGTTGTCGGATACTGCAGGGAGATGTGGCTGTAAGGAGCACAAGACAGAGCCAGAACAACACACGTGAGGCTAAACACAAAAGCCACTGAGATGTTTTTAAAAACCTTAATATGTGTTTTCTTTGTAAGAGATTAAGAATTCACTTCATTGTGCCAACAAAGACAGAAACAAACACACACAACACGGCTTTGGCGGCTGATTGACTTCGAGACCCACTTTTAAAAATCCAGCCCTACAGCATGTTTCCTGCAAATGCCCTTGTTCCACTAGGCTGGTTGGACTAAGACTGTGACCTTCCTCCACATGGAGACTGAACCATGTGGTCCCCGCCTCCTTCCCTCCCACAGACAGCTCTGTCCTGCCTGTCTCTTGGCTCTCCCTCTGCCTTCCACAGCTTTTACTTCCCTCCTTTCTCTTCTCATCCCCACAGCTCCCTAGAAACCACCAAGGAAGTCCCTAGTAGTGGCCTCCCAGATTGCCAAACTCGGCAAGGCTCTGGGATAGGGGTGTTTCAGTGCCTCTCATATCCGGTTTTTCGTAGTTTCTCTCTGCCTCCTGGAAGTAACTGCCCTTGGAAATGGCTAAAAGCACTTGAGAAGCACTTGGATATGGACAATGCCAAACCACAATCCCTACTTGATCTGAGAATATTTAGACTACAATACAAAAATGAATTACATTTAGTGAGCACATACTGTGTGTCAGCTACATTCCAGTGCGTGATCTCATGTAATCCTAATGACAATCCTATGAAGCGGAAACCATTAATATCCCTATTTTACAGATGAGGAAACTGAGGCACAGGAAAATTAAGAAGCTGGCTAAGGTCACTCAGCTGGTGAGTTGCATAATCAGTGACTCTTGCTTCAGGTTGATGAGTTCAGAACACACAGAAACTAGGACATTTAATACTTAACATAATCTTTCTCTCCTCCCTGTGCTATTAAATTTCTAACTTCATTTTTATTATTAATTATGTATGCTGTGTAAAAAAGCAATTTAGGTAATAGATATTCAGATTATACCTGTATGGTGTGGGAATCACTGGCTTGTCCCAGAATTTCCAGAAGAACTGGATCGGACACAAAGAAGAATCTTGGAAACAGTAATCTCTTCTTCTCCAAATACCTGTAAATAAAGTCATGTTACCAAATGGCTTTTCCTGAATTAATAATTTTTGGGTTTTTAGCCAAGACACAATCCCTAACATCTTCAGTAAGATAACAGCAAGCATCTATAGTCATTTCCCATTTGCCTCTGAAATGTTTGGTTAGAACCAAAGTCCATGGTCTGTCATGAGTGGCACTTGGGAAAGCAAGACAGGGATTCAGAGCAAGACCTACGGTCTTCTTCCTCAAGAGCCCTCCTGTGACCTTTCTAGGAGTATCGCGAACTTCATGGTTCAAACCCATGATGAACACATGATTATCTCCAAACCTGGACACTGGAAGAGTTAAAGGGGGAACAACTAACCATGAAGTCAGGACAGGGGCATAAACTTGGAGAAACTAAGATACACTACAACTCTATTTCAAGCAGAAATTGAGAATGAACTGTTCTTTAAGGAAATTATCTGTAAATTTGTCTGGTTCTCTTCGTGCACATCTATATTCCATGACTGTAGTGGGTTGAATGGCAGATCCTCAGAAGACAGGCCCACATCCTATTCCCTGGAACCAGTGGATGTGGCCTCATTTGGAAAAAGGGTCTTTGTAGATGTATTGAAGTTAAGCATTTCAAGAAGAGACAATCGTGGATTATCCACAGGAGTCCTAAATCCAATTACAAGAGTCCTCATAAGACACACACAGGAAAAAGAGGGGAAGGCAGAGAGGTTTGAGTCATGTGGCTGCAAGCCAAGGAACTCCTAGAGGCACCAGAAGCTCCAAGAGGCAAGGAAACATTCTCCCTCAGCACCTTCAGAAGGTGCTGGCTGACACTGATTTCAGATTTCTTGCCTCCCGAAATGTGAGAAAATAGATGTGTGATGTTTTAACGCCCAGTTGGTGGGCATTTGTCACAGCAGCCCTATAAAACTAATCCAATGCCTTAACTCATGGACCCCCAAATTGATGGTGTCTTGTTTTGCAGAAAAATTAAGGCTATGTTAAATTCCTGCAGCCACTTCAGCCATCCCTACCAAACCAGAAATGCCGTCAGTTTTATTTACTTGTTTGGGATAAAATGCCATCACATATAAAATGATAGGAAACTTAAAACTGTGGTTCTTACCCCGTGAGTGACTTCTGACATACTTCCAACTGTTCGTGCAAATGAGGTAAAAGTTGCCCCATGGTTTCATCTCCAACACAGCAACTGATCACATTGGGGTTCTCATGAGCTCGCTGCATTATCTTTATCCATGACTTGTCAATATTCTGAAAACGCTTGGCTTCCTAAAAACAGTCAGTGAAAATGAGCATTTGAATAAATGCAAAGTCTTCGCTTTGGAATAGCCTCTAGTTCCTCAGACCCGCTTCTATTAGTCCTCAGTCTACATAATTTAAAGGAGCATTTTTTTTTCCACCTCAATTAATTCTGAAAAACAAAAACCCAGAGTCATAAAACTGCTTATTGAAATACTGCTTTGTCACAATGGGGCTTATCACTTATTTGTTTTCTTACATTTAATACATTTTCAAAATGCCACACGATTAATTTACAGAGCTATCGACTTAAAGCTCAAATCTAGTCTTCCAGCACCCCAGGTGCTTGGTTTGATGAGCAAACTGAAGAAGCATGACAATAACTTGATCTCAAGATCTTTTGAATAATTACAGCTCAAAAGGACCCGGGGGAGGGGGGGGGGCAGAAAAAAAGAAAGTAAAAACCCAAAACAAAGCTTCATTTACATTTTTGCTAATGAAATTTTTCTATTTACTATGGATGATATTAAGCTTTGCATTCAATTGCAAAAACGCCTCTAGGAATGGCATAATCTTGCCTTTTTAAAAACTTTTAAAGGTATCTTTTAAAACACTGCAACTTTCTGGTTAAGAAAGAAAAGAATTATGTTTAAAACAATGTTACAATGAGAAATGAGCTATTTTTGAAACCCTTTTAACCTTGATTTTTAATTTATATAGAGCCTATAGTTATGGAAATTTAGGAAGAGCAGGCTTAATTTTATAAGAGGGATTCTACCTTCATAGAATAAATCTATTAATAAGTTTACTTATTTCAAAGGCTGCAGAGTAAAGCTGTTTTAAAGATTTTGTTAAGGGCTCAGAAAGCTAAATTTCCTTGCCCCGTGGTATGTGTCTGATCTACCATTAGTCAACTTAATGATAGTTAATTTGTGTTTATGCAATACAGATTAATTTTAATTCTACTCTCAGAGGAATACTATAAAGTCACCTCTTAGAGGAGATGAACTACTATAATCCAACAGTACCATATTTGAGGGGTGCCTGGGTGGCTAAGTCAGTTAAATTCTTGGTTTCAGCTCAGGTGATGATCTCACAGTTTGTGGGTTTGAGCCCTACATGAGGCTCGGTGCTGACAGCATGGAGTCTGCTTGGGATTCTGTCTCCCTCTTTCTCTCTTCCTCTCCTGCTCTCTCTCCCTCTCTTTCTTTCTCTCAAAAATAAATAAACATTAAAAAAAATTAAATGTAGTAGTACCATATTGAAGGTACCTGATATCCTCAGATAACCTGGGGATTTGAAAATAAGTGATTTTCTTTTTTTCTTTTAATGTAAATAAAAAATCAGCACATTTTGAAAATTTATTTTGTAAAGGGGCCAGACAGTAAATATTTTACTTTGCAGGCCATATAGTCTGTTACAACTACTGAACTCTCCTGTTGCAATGCTACAGCAGCCACAGACAGAACATAAATGAATAGATATGGCTGTGTTCCAATGAAACTTATTTCTACAAACAGGTGAGTGGACCACAGATTGCCAACCCCTGTTTAGATAAGGTTTTAATAAGGTGGCACCTGGGTGGCTCAGTCGGTTAAGTGGCCTACTTCAGCTCAGGTCATGATCTCACAGTTAATGAGTTTGAGCCCTGTGTCGGGCTCGGGCTGACAGCTGGGAGACTGGAGCCTGTTTTCAATTCTGTGTCTCCCTCTCTCTCTGCCCCTCCCCCACTCCCTTCTTTCTCTCTCTCTCTCTCAAAACTAAATAAACGTTAAAAAATTGATAAATAAATGAATAAATAAATCAAGACAGGACCATATGGCTTTATAAAGACTTCTCCAGAGACATACACACAACACAAATCATTCTATCAGTAGTTACAAAACCATATATATATATTTTTTTTAATATATGAAATTTATTGTCAAATT